CCACCATCAATTTTATCTGCGACGGCCTGTGATGATGGATTCGAGTGAGAATCCGAAACATCAGGCCAATAAATACCTTGTTCCAGTGATCGCATCTTCATCTTCTGAACTGCTACCTGGAACTCGCCTGTTCGCTTCTGTCACTAAGGTGTGAGCCAGTTTTGGTGAAGAAGCTCTGTAATTCCGTTTGGGAAAGCTGCCATGGAGATTTATGGCAGTGGTCCTTGAGTCAAACCTTTCCATCCGTTGCCCGAATTAGGAGACGAGGAAGCAGGGAAAAAGTAGCGACGGGTTTTGACCCAAAAAGTGGTACGATACCAGCAGTTGATAGCTGTGATGGGACGAGATGAAAAACTGAAGTGGACATCTCGGTTAGATGACTTTGGTGAGCTGAGGGATGAACGGCAGGTTGCCTGATTTTAAAGTTAAGTAACGAGCCAGTTTCGAAATCTGTGGCATCGAATCCGAAAGGGGAGGCGAAAATAAGTTAGAAGCGGGAGGAGTGAGGGCTTTGCGAAGCCGTGCATTTTCACTAGCAAGTTTGCCATTTAAATGATTTTGGAGACTGTGAGTGAAAGCTTCAAAATAGAGCGCCAGGTGTAAAACTGCTCGCTGCCATCACCTGACAATATTGCAGATTTCGAGCGCGAATAACCATTGTTTGTAAGAAGTCATCCGCCATCGAGATATAGTACAGTAAAAGGGCTACCTCATGAAATGTCAACCGAAATTCCGCAAATGAGTTTTCGTTTCGAAAAGATTAATTAATGAGGGCTGCAAAATTTGTCAGCCTGCAACATAATTCTATAATATTTCAATTACCTCAGGATGCCGGCTGTCGAATATACTTCCTTCCGGCTGCATGCAAAAGCTACACTCTTTAAAAATGACTACTTTAGTAGCATGCATTTTTCTCATTGATTTTCGATGTCCCTAAAAGTCGAATTATATTTTATGGAAAACATGCATAAAATATTTATTCTTTTGCTCATTCGGTAAAAAATTACGTCTTCTTCGATGCCCACTCTACCATCAGGTAGCTGGGCCTTCCTGCAGCTTACAAAGTCCTACATCATCACAATCGTAAAGCTCAGGACCAAACAACCACACCGGACGTACGGAGATAGCCTGAAGCTGAGTTTATTCTGTGAGGAAGAACAAGAACTACCAGACCGACCGCCCGACAAAGTTTCGAACAGCTCCCCTCGACGGAGTGGTGACTCACAAAGCACACAGGCAAAACGCCCGTCAACCATCGCCCGAGTGACCGAGGCGGTGAGAGGAGAGAAAAATCGATCATCATGAGGCCAACCGTGGCTTAAGGTCAGAACGGTGAGACTCCAAAACTGAAGACGGAAGTTTTTCTATCGAGTCTCTTCACTGAAGACGACTGTCCTTCACCAAAAAGTGGATTATAAAACGCCTTTCTGACAACGATCCTACAGCTATCTCCATCGATACTCCTATCGTTCGATCAGAACAAACTTCAGCAAAAACGGTCTTTCTGTCGGAAATCTCGGCTTGTCTACAGGGCCTACCCATCCAATACACCGTCTCCAATTGCTCAACAAAGTTAGGAGCAACATCTAAGAAAAGGCTGAGTCGATATTTCTACACTGCTTGCTGTGCTGCTTAAATTCGGACAACTCGAGTTGTCTCACTTTACCATAGATTTACCTGAAAAAAAAGCGTTCCCTGGAAACTTTCGGCGTATCCAGCATAAGCATAGACACTGTCCACAGTTGTGCATTAGGAAATAGCTTGTTATTCCTGGAGATTCGTCCGTTTTTCATAAGTCCACTACATAATGACGATTTGCGCAGCCACCCAAATTAATGCGCCGCATGACGGAGTCGAACCACCGTCCACCGACATTTCAGTCGCGCACGCTAACCCCTCGGCCACCGCGGCACGACGGCGAGCGATCTCGCAAAGTGTACTTGATAGTAAATACGTGCCGCATACCGATCGAGATATTGGCCGGCAAAATCAACCGCCTTGAGGAAGAGATGGGAAAGATGAAAACTCTTCTACAATGTAAACTAGACACACGTGACGATGCGAATGTACCTGTTGGACGAATAACTAGAAGTAGGGCCAAAGGACGTCGCACAAAAATACGCCATCAACACCTTCTGCAGATGTCACGGCACACCCAGCACAAACACATCAAATACAAGACGACAACAACCAGCGAAGCAACGATAAAAAACCAGAGGAAAAAAAGAAATCGTGCAGCAAAAAGGTCGAGGGACATGAACAGCAGGTCCCGAGGAATGCCTCCGAAGAACCGGAACCAGGGACATCGGCGTCCGTGTCGCCCATCACGGGAAATGACATGGGTCCTAAAACCCTCAACCTATCGCAAAAACTTCCGACTTTGATGAAAATGCAAACAAAACAGAGACGAATGAGGATCTTAATCGACTGCAGCTTATATCCTCGTCAGATCATGGCAACCACATATTGCCTTTGTCGGAGCACGAAACCACTGTGTTCTCGAGAGTGTCGCTGGTCAGAGGACAATGTCTGATTATTCAGGGACTTCCCGAATCCACAGCTAGTGCCTCCAAAGAGCGGGTCTCGGCAGACCTGCAACTCTTCCAATGCCTACTCAACGAACTTCTGCGCCCCAATGAGGAAGTTTCGGTTCTCAAGGCCTTTAGGCTTGGAAAGCGCTCAATTGACACATCAGAGCACTCACGTCCCCGACCACTCAAGATTGTGTTAGCCAACCAAGAACAAGTAGGACTTATTCTCTCACGACGATTCCGAATCAAAGACATCAACCGCGGCGTTTTTTTTCAGCCAGACTACACACCGTCAGAGAGAATAAAACGTCGACAATTAGTTCTGGAACTGAGAACAAGGTTGCAGAATGGCGAGACGGATCTTGTGATCTACGACAACCAGATAGTGCAGCGCCCTCCCCTAATCCGTTGGACCGAACCGATCCGGATGAGGGCACAGTAGCTTCCTTAAATGGGATCACAAGCGGCACCATAATCAAACTCCCCAAAACTCTGAAACTAACATTTTTTTACACCAACGTACAGAGTATATTGCCCAAGTTAGACGAACTGAAGATCCACATCTGTGACCTTTCCCCTGACATTGTCTCTTTGACAGAAACCTGGCTGTCTGAAAACGTGGATGACCGCGAATTAATGCTACCAGGATTTCAGTTGTTTCGAAGAGACAGGAGAGAGCGTCAGGGAGGAGGAGTCGTCACGTACGTAAAACACGGCCTGCTTGTGTCAGAAAAAACAGAACAGTTTGCATGCAGCGCCGAGACTATCTGGCTAACTATAAGGGTACCAGGACCACATAGCCTTGAAGTTCTGACCGTCTATCGACCGCCGAGGAGTGACCCCGAGGCTGACGCTCGTATGTTAGAGGAGCTAGGACGATTTTCTCTCCGGCCTGACGTCCTAATCATGGGCGACTTCAATGCACCGCTCATTGAGTGGAGTTCACTATACGCGCGCGGCCCAGAACTAGCTTTCGACCGACGCTTCTTGGACATGGCACTCAGGTCATTTCTCACACAGCACTTCCTATTTCCCACGAGGGGCCGTGAGGGGCAGCAGTCAAATTGCTTGGACCTGGTGCTCACGAAATCGATGGACAGCATAGATGAGGTACAATGTCTGCCTCCCTTAGGTCGAAGCGATAACGTTGTACTTCAATGGGACTATTCAATTTTTTCCGTGCCTGAACAGCCCACCAAAATTAGAAGAAATATTTGGCGTGGGGACTTCGATCAAATGAAGACCGAAATCAACAATACGGACTGGGAATCAGCGTTTTCCGGAAATATAGAGGAGGATTGGAAATGGTTCAGTGAATTATTGCATGTTCTCCTGATAAACCACTGCCCGCTTTTACGGAAGGTGCTAAACAATCGACTCCGGTGGCTGACCCAGGCGTTAAAAAAGGAAATAAATAAGAACGGAGATTGTGGCAGAAATCTCTTACTGATGGGACTCTTGTATCCATAAACGCATACAAAATACAGAGGAACTTAGTCAAGCGACTGACCCTCAGGACACGGCAAAATTTTGAAAAAGACCTATTGAATCGTGCTATGAAAAATCCAAAATTATTCTACAGCTACATAAGAAGCAGCACACGAAACAGAGATCCAATCCTCATCCTGAAGACAATCGGAGACGTAGAGATTAGTGAGGATGGAGGAAAAACTGAGCACTTTTCACAATTTTTCAAATCCATCTTTACTAGTGAAAGTCCATTTACTCCTCCCGACTACGACTTCGATGAGGGTCCAAAAATTGAGTCTGTATCTTTTGATGAAGCGACGGTTCGCAAAGAGCTAATGACGCTAAATGAGTCGAAATCACCAGGTCCAGACGACATACCGCCTATGTTACTGAAGGAGCTCGCTGCCGAACTAGCCAAACCATTGTCCATGCTTTTCCAAGCCCTGTTCGAAGCCGGCTGCTTGCCCGCCGACTGGAAATCTGCGCGGATCACACCACTGCATAAAGGAGGCAGCAAGGCCTCTGCAAACAATTATAGGCCAATTAGCCTCACCTCCATCTGCTGCAAACTCATGGAGAAAATAATCAAGCGAGAGCTGATGCGCTTCCTAGAGCAGCATAATTTATTATCTGATGCGCAGCATGGGTTTCGTAGTGGCAGGTCTTGCGTGACTAACTTGCTCAACTGTTTGGAACGTTGGACTCGGTCAGTTGGTGAGGGCAATGCGCTGCATGTAGTCTATATCGACTTTAAAAAGGCATTTGATAGTGTCCCACATCAGCGACTTCTGCACAAACTGAGCCGAACAGGCGTTAGGGGTAACCTCTTAAATAGATTCAAAGCTTCCTATTAGACCGTTGTCAAACTGTCCATGTCGGTGGCCAGAAGTCGACGAAGGTTGCCGTTGAAAGCGGTGTCCCCAAGGCTCAGTTCTTGGTCCTACTTTGTTCATCATTTACGTCAACGATTGCGTGAGGGGACTGGATTGTGGTGTCGCCATGTTTGCGGATGACATTAAGCTCTGGAGCGTCACTCGAACTGCAGATGACGAAGAGCATCTGCAGGCGAACCTAAACCGACTCCAACAGTGGTCAAAGGCCTGGCTTCTGCCGTTCAACGAGAAAAAGTGCAATATTCTACGAGTCGGCAGTGCTCGCTCTCCGAACCATATGGCCTACTGCCTAAACGGTATACCACCGCAAGAAGTGGACTCGCAGAAGGACTTGGGAGTATGGATTACGACCTCGCTCAAACCCTCGCTGCACTGCACGAAGATAGCCAAGTCTGCAATGTCTGTCCTCTACCTTGTCAAGCGGGCTTTCTCTGCCTTTGATGAAGACTGCTTCGCTAAAGTCTTTCGAAATTTTGTGCGTCCGCAACTAGAATTTGCTATCCAAGCTTGGAGACCCTGGACCGCGAAAGACCTCATCATCCTTGAAAGGGTTCAAAGGTGTGCAACGAAACTTGTGGCAGGACAGGGTTACTACCATATGCAACGCGGTTAGCTAACCTTGATCTCTTTCCCTTGAGTTACAGGCAGTTACGGGGTGACCTGATACAAGCCTTCCGTATCATACGCGGTCAGGACTGTACCCTCGTACCGGGGGACTTCTTCGAGTTAGCAACCACCACAAATCTACGAGGCCATCCATTCAAACTACGTGTGACAGGGGTCAGACTGGACACACGAAAGTTCTTCTTCTCCAACAGAGTGGTAGAAGCCTGGAATGCCCTGCCTGTGGATGTCGTTATGTCTGCTTCCGTCGAGGTTTTTAAGAGGAAGCTGGATTTGTGTAGCAGTGTGCACTAAATTACCACCCCGATCTCTGTAACCTCGACAAATTTCGTTATTATAATACTACTTGCCATATTTCAGTAACATTTTAAATTGAATGTATTATTGTGCCAACTCATCGCCTACGCTTACTGACATGCACATATGCAAATTTTTGTCACCGGATATATTATTTATTTCGCTGCACTCGAAACGACAGCTCTACAGCTGCTCGTACCACTAAAATTCGAGACAGTTTGGTTGTCTGTACAGACCTTACGTTTTTCCGATTATTTGTTCCTTTATGATACCTTTTCGAGTTTTTGAGATTTTGCAGTTGTTTGTAAACAAATAGGGAGTTCAAAGGTGAAGACCTACATTTCCCTCAATAAACTGAACTGAACTGAACCAACACCACACGCCCCTTTAAATTAAATTTCTGATCGATTAAGGACATTTTACGCTTTGATATTGGAGAGCCGACCCAGCTCTGTGAAACGTCGGCATTTAAATAAACCTGTTCCGGAGAGCCTATCTTCTTCTTCCACTTTTTCAAAAAAGACGCCTTTTAGTTATGCGGTTTCAACTCAGTTCTGCATAACTGTAATTAACAAGAGACTATACAAAGTGCTTTTTTCGCGTCGATAGTTCGACGGCACGTCTTGTCATCGTTAAGAGAGGCATGCTGCACAATTTTCGGAAAATGGTCAAATTAACCTTTCCAGATATACGCGTTGTGAGGGCAGAAAGAAAAAGTAACATCTGGACTTCCTTGATTTGCTCTTTTGGCAAACTTCTAAAGGCGCAATTTAAAAAAAAAACAGTTTGCAGGATGTCGAATAACACGCAACATTTCCAGCGTCACACCGACCATTTCATTGTTCACAAGCAAAACTACATGTGAATGGTCATCCGAGAGATTAAGACTCCGGTACAAAAAGCATGCGAGGCCCGATAAGTCCGTAACGAATTTATGCGAAATGGTTATCTGAAGATCCAATTGATCGACTGGAAGACGTCTGGCGCAGTAAATCGTCGCCCAGGAATAAAATCTCCTTATGGTTATACCGATAAGGACAGACGAAGTCTCAGGCCACAGGTTTCCGAACGTAAACTAACTGCACAACTTTGCGGTCTGACTTCAGAACCTGTTATCAATGACCTAGAAGCTAGTCGTGTGTTCAAGGTCGCAGCACGGAAGTGAATTGATGCCTAGGCATACGACAGAGATTTGATCAACCGCACGCCGATCCTTTGCTTTTATCCGCAACCCCTAGCTTTCAACTGCAGACATACGGCGCTGACAACTGACTGGCTGAAAACTCTTCAACTGCCGCATGTGTGTCACTGCTGTCCTTTCTGACGATGACCTTGAAAACTTGCGAAAATAAATGATGAACTCAACGGCAATCCTCGGTCCCTGATCGAATGCCCATGGGATAATCAATTACTTCCTGCAATTCGTCAAAGTAGTTATTTTTGCTATCTCCTACCGGGCATAATACTCAGCATATTTCGTAAAAATCGGTACCGAAATTTTATAAGGCATTTTTGATTAGTAAGTACTGCTTAGGTTGGGTTGTGATGCTGACCACCGTACGCAGACTCTCAATATATTTTAGTCATGCCAAGATGCCAGTCTTGAAACACATGTTTTCTGCAGCCTGTAAAGATTTTGCTGAGCATAAAAAGATCGCTGTGACAGTAAGATTTTTTTTATTCAACTCTGATGTCTTTATAAATTCAAATATACTTCATAAAAAGCATGCATGAAAATATTATGTACTATTCTCGGTTTAGAGAGCACTTCCTCTTCTTGAAAACTGCCACTTTAATCAAGGACGTGTTTTAATCTACAAAAAGGTTGTTATTATAATATTCTTAAGACTATGAAATATCTATTCACACTGCATCGTATACGCCTATTTTTTATGCTAATCATAAAGCGTAAGATGGGTTCCATTTTCATTAGACAATTTTGTGAGCCCTATATGACATCTTCTAAATGGCGGAGCAGATGTGTAAGTCCTATCAAATGGTAAATGTGCAGCGTGTAGTTTGAAAACTCTAAACGTAAATGCAATTATCAGTCACTTTTAGATCATTTGTTAGTTGTGAAGGTTTTTTAAAACCTAAACACGCACCTTCATTAAACGCGGCGTTTGAAAATAGCGAAACGGCTACAGGAGAGGATGCGTTTTGCAGGCTTCCTAATAAATTTAATTGAATTTATAGGGGTATCGAAAATTAACGGGGAAATGTAAACCATATAAGTGGTCACTTTTACCGAACGAAATTGTGCTAACGGACGAAAAGCTTACTGGCGTGGCTAAAATATCGGCAAGGACCAAGTATGCGACCCTACTCAAGAAAATAAAACAAAACCACCGTTAAACACTGGTTTTTTGGTAGGGCTAAACGATGGAAATCAGAGCGCGGTAGTAAGTGAAAATTCGGACAAATGTTAGGGTGACATTTACACGCTAGACTTCTTCACAACTACTTGTAAGAGAGCCCACGTGCCAGGAACCCAATCCTGGATCGATGATGACGGTGTCAAGATATCCAACAGTGCAAGCAAAAGTGCAGCATTTTTGGAATTCTTCCAGTGTTTTTTGCAATGAATGTAGATAAATATTTTTATTTACGATAGCGCGGAAGCGTTATTAATAGAAAAGCGAGGAGTCAGTATGCCACGCTGACTTGATTTTCATTCCCTAAGTGGGGTCGCATACTGCAACCTTGTCAAAATATCTTGTCCTTATGTCGTATGATGAGCCCTGTCACGGCACCACTTAGAAAATTTATTCTACTCAGTAACGCATTTTCTAATTTTGGTTGACATTTCAGGAACAAGCCCAGCTACTGTACCGTTGTTGCCACAAGTAGTACCATCAGTTTATCTTTACTCATCTTATAAAGACACCTTCAAGAGAATACTTGACTGTTTTATGAATTGCTTTTATTATCTTCCTCCAATTTTTGCATTGTCAGCATTGCCACTGGAACCGAATCGTTGGACTACAAGTCGTTTGAAAAGTGGCTGAGTTTAATTGGCCTGGGAAAACTTTGAATCAACATAGTAGGAATAATACAGTGAGCGTTAATACAGTGCTTATGTGCCTCGAAGATATGCATTCTCAGATAGGAGAGAAACATAAAGAAATTAGTTCTATTTTGAAATTACAGATACAAAATTTTCATCAAAAAAGGGGTTCATTCACCGTCGACATAATAAAAGTTAACAAATTACTTAAGAGTCAAGAAGATTTACATAGAAAGAAAGAACTATTACGGGGACGATTGGAGTCCTAGTTTCTGTATTCCAGTCTTTTCCCACGTTATAAGCGTGCAAAGAATGGTAGTGAAGGCTGTTAGCATGCCGATGAAAGGCAAGAGTTATGTCGAAAGCCTCTGCAAAAGAGGCGGGAGGACTTCGCGCAGAGATAAGCTCAGAATATGGGGGATGGGAAATGTCATCCGAAATTTGATCAGCACATTGCTCGATTGTTTTGAGATGTCATTGCGTGATAATGCTGACTAAAAAGACATACCAAACACCGGCAGTAGAAAAGAGCATTTAAAACTCTCGCCTGAAAACTTACGTATCCTTTTTGAACAAAACAGGAAACATGACGGGAGGACAAAAAGGAATGAGCAAAAAAATGCAGACAAATATAATACGCCAGATTAAGGATTGAAGTGTGTGGTATGAACGTTAGCGACTAATTTAGTAAGTCGGTTTCCGAATTTTAGTGAAAAGGTTCTTTATATGATGGGAACACTAAATATTTAAGGGCAAAGTTACGCTAAAGTATATAAAAAAGGATACTACGTCGGGAAGGATGTCTAAAAATTCAGAACTCGGGGAAGACCGCAGTCAGAAGAGACACTGAACTGATTTTCGATTGTTCATTAGGAGGCCATTTTCCTGCGACCATACTAAGACAAGGTCAAGGCCATTCTTCAGGGACTGGAGATAATTCGGATTTTTGAGGGAGTGACCAATAACCACCTCGTCCGCATGCCTAATAAACACACAGTTGTTTCGGGAAATTAGACCATCAATGTAAAGGGAGGCGAGCATAGGGGGCAAGATAGAATCCTGGAGAAATCCACAATCATTTTGAAGGACCGTAGATTTTCGTTTACCGAATTGGACAAATTGAGTACGGAGATAAGGAAATTATCGAACCAAGAGACAACCCAGCCTGGAGAGCCGCACGCGAATGATTTCACTGCTATCCTGTTTTCTCTGTTTCAGAAGGCGAATCCGCACTCCGTATCAGGACTACCCTAGATTTTAAATCCAGGATATATTCCGCGGGCGATAACTGACTACTCTGTGTGCATGTAGACAACGGGCTGTATGTTTGTTGACGTTTGAACAGCCACCAAAATGCGAAACAAGCTTTCAGCCGGCCAGTTCTACTGTAGCCTCCCAAACTGCTCTGTTTGACCATTAATACCAATTACGTAGAGACGGTTACAAATGTTCTTCGCTGTCCGCAGCTGCTACATGCTGGAGATGTTATCATACAAACGCCGAACTAGGTAGCACCTAAGGCAGATTAGTTGGGTAGCCTTGTCCCGAAAGCTTCTCTGTTAGATCACATCGCATGCCTCAGTGAAGCAGAAACAGATTCGACGCTACCATGAAGGGTGCCCAGAGTATAAGCCTCTGTGGTTTTAAAAGGGTAAAAACGTTCTGACAAATTATTAAGCTTGAAAATCACTTCACTTTCGGCGGCGTTTGTTATGGTCAAAGGAGCAATTAAGATTTGAGGGCTAAATTTGTCATTTTAGGAATAAAGATGACGAACAAAATTTAAAAAATTAAAAGTTTTTCGGGTATATCAAGTCTTTAACAGGAATTTTAAGTGGGTCACATAAACCCATCGTCTGGTGAAATAAATAGCAAAAGGTGAGACTGTTGGCCTAGGGATTTTGGGATACAGGGGTCATAAGGCGTTTGTTTCCCAGATGTATGTGTTAAAGGTTACGGTAGGTTGGTGTTCAGCAGTCCGGTTAAATAACGTGCTCGTCCCTACCCACACCTTGATTTGGCGTATCGGAGGCACTCTAATATCTAATATACAGTAGGTTGTCTAGCTCATGAAACGTCAACCAAACTTCCAAAACCTGTTTTCGTTACGAAAAAAATTAATTGAGACGTATTGGATAGCTTCTTATCTTGCAATATAATTCTATAATAATTCAGTTGCCTCCGGATGTCGGTTTTCAAGGGAATTCCTTTCTGGCAATAGGCAAAATCTTTACTCTGTGAGAAATTACCACTTATATGGCTTGCATTTTTCTCAATGATGTTCGATGCCATTAAAGATTCAATTATATTTTATGGAAAATGTGTATTGAAATATTCATTTTTTTGCTCATTTAGAGGGAAATTACAACTTCTTCCAATTCTGTACTCAAAATAAGCGTATCATTATGTTTTCAAAAGCGTTTCCAATTCGCGGGTAATTTTGAACCCTGACCTGCCGTTACACTTGCATTCAGGGTTTCAAAATACAAAGCGTATATTTTCCGCGTACGAAAAACCGTATATTTCCCTAAGGCATTAATAGGAGACTATATGGGTTTATAACATTTAACAATGTATATGAGCTTAATAGTTAATTCAAAAGCCACATTGGCAAATGCAACGACATGACGTTTTATGAACGGCCATTTCATGGTATTAAATATCTCCTAGTTATAAACCTTTTTTGAAATCGAATTATAAACTTCTTTCGAGCATACCATTAAAAACAAATGTAATTTCCTACCTAATTTTTAAGGAATGAATATTGTTTTGCATGTCTTCTATAAAATTTAATTGAATCTTTTGGGACATCGAAAATCAATGAGAAAACTGTAAGCCACACGGGTAGTCATTTTTGGCAGAGTATAATCTTTGCATGCCGCCAGGAAAATTTTCCTTCGAAAACCGACATTCCGAGGCAACTGAACTATTATAGAATTATACTGCATGATGATTAGTTATTTAATTCTACTTAATTCGTCTTTTTGAAACGAAAACGCACTTCGGAATTTCGGTTGAGAGTTTATGACTTAGCCTTCCAACTGTAGTCTAATTAATTGACTTCCTTTTGTCTTGTGTCCGCGTTATGCGCACATATCTAAATGATAAATTATTTAACCTCGAGTCACAAGCCATCTGTCCGTTTTTGTCGTCTATGTATATACATTGAGCCTGTCACTGAAACCTCCAGACGGGTTTGCAATATCCATTTAAAACTTATTTTTTTGCTAATTACAATGTTACAAATAAACTCGGAAGACGAGACGGAAATAGTATTTGAACAAAACAGAATTAGAAGTAATATTTCACGATCTGCAGTTCCATCACAAATCCACTTATTGTCCGATAGGATCGGGACATTTTAAGGCTTCACAAACTTGTCAGTCAGTCATCTGGTCGGACCCCAAGAAGGAATGCTAGCTTTTCACGTTGTCACGGAGCTCCGACATACCGACCCGTCTGCCAATTGTGTAGTCAGAGAGAATCCCAAATGAAACATCCAATGAACATAACTAATTGGATGTCAGGTGACTTTTAAGAGCTGTAATCTGAAATCCCAAACAAAATGGGTGGTTGGTGTTACGCTTTCAAATTATGTGGCATACGAGACCACCCCTTCATTGCGACCGTGTCCGATTTTCAAGAATTGGATTTTTACTGTAGCGTCCATGTACTATATGAGCTGATTGCTTTGTTTATTTGGATGAGATTGTTTACGACTGACCTTCCAGGTGGATTTTTCGGTTAACATGTTGTTTACCTCCTGACCTACGCGATCCCATCCTCCTGTCAGATGCCTCGCGCAAGGTAATGTGCATTCGTCGGCACAGCTAACAAATCGATTAAACCTATGTGTGCCGAAGTAAACAAGTCATTTTGGTGAGCCTACCTGTCTCATATGTATTTCCGATCAATGTTAATAAAACTGAGATATTCTTTCCATATATTCTATAACAAGGGAGTTTGTAAAAATAAATACTGCGGAATAGGCTTAGTCATCGGGAATTTGATGTGGATTGTACTTGCGAAATAATAGGTTTTAAATACGGCGTTCACGAAAAGATCCGGAGCGATCTGGAGTACTGTATCGAATTCAGTGCACGTTGTCCTTGTAACTAAACAGGACAGACTGGGCGCATGCTCGGATCGCGCATACACGAACATAAGCTGGCTGTGCGACGAGGCGACGCATTATCACAAGTGGCCGCCTACACCCCCGAAATGGGTCACGAGTTTAACTTCGCAGACACCAAAATAGTCGCCCACACCGGAAGCAAAACGGGCCGAGGATTGATTGAAGCCTTGGTCTCGGATGAGAACTCGGTTAATCGATTTATCGATCTGGCGCCGGCGTACATAGCTCTGCGTAGTCACCTCCAGTCTTTTGCCGTCGGTCGAAGATTGGCCTACATGCCTTATAACTGCCTCTTGATCTGTTGCTGCTACTACCTCTGACAATGGACTCCTGTACGAGTCTGAAGGCTCAGGACAATGAACAAAGTGCCCCATGCTGGACTCTTCTCCTTCTTCACTTATGTACACACCTGGAACTCGAAATTTCGCCTTCATCGTATATACAATTATTCTCTCTTTTCACCCATCTAGATGACATGTCACATGTTTTCATCTTGTACAATTAGACTGACCGTCATATACGATGCCATCAACCGTGTTACTCAAAGCTCGGTGGACTCAGCTCGGTGAACCGCGCATTACTATGCTTGCAGTGATATAGGCTTGTGCTGTATCTTCCGCACACCACCATCCCTCACTCATCGGACCCCAGAGACCAGGTGGAATCCAGGCGGTCGGAGGAGGGTCAGGCTTGGTGGCTGTCAGATATAATTAGCCCCTCTACGCGCGCCTCACACGACCGTCCCCCACATGTCGGTGGTAGCCTCCCAAACCGTGACTTATTGCGCGCCGTAATAGTTTTAAAATGCATCTGATTCATTACAGTGGGAAATGCGCTAAAATGCACTGGCCCATCGAGATTACTTCATTTGCCTTCACTTCTGTCTGTAAAATATAATAAGAGTGGCATGAAAAAACTCGGACGAATAAATCGCGACGATCAAATTTAAAAGACCGAAGTTTATTAGCGAATCAACGGCCAGAAAACGCTGGAGATTAACTGTTTTCAAGCATCCTACTAGGTGTGGCGTCCCGGCGATCCCTGGAGACTCAACCGACCGAAAGGGAACATCAAGTATTCTGCCCGATTTGAAAAGGACTTTAGAACATGATTTTGCAAACAAAGGAACTCCAGAGAGGGGATATTTGCCTTGGTTATATAGTAACCAAGGTGCACTTTAATGTCACATAAGCTATGGGACGTCTTCGTGACGAGCAATATCAGGCGACTTTTGCCTACTTTAGTAACTCAACCCCCGCCAGATCTCGAAATTGTTTAGAGGAGCGCTGGAAAATGCACGGTGACTTGTGTGTAAGTTAACTCATAGTGCTAATGGACTCAAGCAGCATCTGCCGTACTCTCTCCCCTCTCTCCCGCCTGAACTCGGTATCAAGACAAAGGCAGGAAGACCGGAGGCAAGAGAGGGCGCGGGTGGCTAGCACGGCCAGGCCCGCACTTAGGCGTATCACCACACCCCCTGATTTCCAGCAAAACCTTGACCAGAATTTTTAGTCAACAATTCGTCAGACAGATGAAGATGACTAGGCCACAATGCTCACGACCTGTGTATCCAGCTGGGAGTCGCAGGTGTATCTGCCGGCAGAGAACTAGATGCCGGAGTATTGTAAACGTTAACCAGGCTCCGAGGACAATGGTTTGCTGAATAACCGCGTAGCAGACGCTCACATTCCTTGATACCCAGAAGGGTGAAACGCAACCGTGTATTTGGCCTGAGCCATAACTCTTCAAAGGCTAGGTAACTAGTCAGCTATCGACCATGAGGCACTGCCCATAAAGCCCACACACACACTGCTCACATGCGTGACAATGCCAGAGGTCACGTTAGGAAGGAACCATTACAGCCTGACTTTCAGCCCACTAGTCCGCCACTTCACGCAAACACACACACACAACTGGGCAGACGGCGTGGACTGAGTTCGAGCGTCGGTCGGCAGTCTTTCATGCCACGGCGCCCGGCGCGTACTACATAAATAATTATTTTTATTAAGCGTGGTTTTTACAAAGAAAAACTCATTCAAGAGAGACACAGCTTGACCTGATGAAATTTTCAAGGAATAATGTTGTACGCTAATCCCTAGTGAAATCCCACTCAAGTAATCATTTCTAATCGAAATCACACTTCGGAATTTTCGCCAGACAAGACGGCCGGCTTTAGAAGTAGTGGGACACCAGTGGGCACCAGTTGAATTAAACCCCTACTACTTTGTCGTGGATTTGAATCCCGACAAGACCACTGAGCTTTTCAAGCCTCGGCTGCCACGGCAAAGTGAGAGCAGGCACGGTGACTTGCATATGATTTCTTTTATAGTGATAGCGAATTTGCGCTACATCTATCGCACTCTCTCCTCCTCCCCCACCTTGGCTCGGTGTCAATACATGGTCGATAAGACTGAAGGCAGGAGGAGGTTCAGGTGGCTGGCGCGGCCGGACCCGTACCTAGGCGTACCACCACACCACATGGTCTACAACAAACACTCAACCAGGATTTTGACCAAAATGTGGGCCGGCGGGAATCCAAAAGTGCACAGCCTACAGTTGGGCCTGCCACCGCACACACACAGTAGGTGAAATATCTAGTGGACGCGTCTACGCGCGACACGTTCAGCGCCTAGCCCTCGAAACACAGGTACCAGAATTTCGCCCAACGAGGAGGGGGGGGGAAGTGACAGACATCTCGCATGCATGAGAGTGCCAGAGGTCACGTTAAGAAGGAGCCGTTGCAGCCTGAATTTTAGTCCACTAGTCCGAAACTCTACGCAAACGCACACACAACTGGACAGACGGCGTGAATTAAGCCGTCGTTCGACAGTGTTTCATGCCACGGCGCCTGACGCGTCAACACAGTCTTGGACTCGGATCACGCATGCAGCGGAGGACCCGCATGGAGGTGCTGATTGGATGCTTGTGAGGGATGGTGGTGTTAGGAGGTGCAGAGGTTATTGGTCAAAGGTGCGATGATGTGATTAGACCAGCAACTGTCTACCGCAGGACTTTATAAGTGCGCATGTGGCCTAATAAGCCAGTCTGGCGGTGAAGTCTGCGCAGATAGTGTGGAGAGTTGAGACGGATGCTGCGAGTGCAGGTTGGTGGTCAAGGCACTGGTTCCACAATTTCTATGCTGTGAATTCGCAAGTGACCGACTTGACCGATATGTTCGGTGAGTGTACGGGGGTAATGTGGACAGTGGCATCAAAGAATCAAGGGCCCTATTACAAAAAGGTCAAGTGGCAATGCAATTTGGGTCAAGAGGAAGCCTATGCACCTGGGACCGAAAATTAAAAACATAAAAAAATAAATCGAAGTACAAAGCAAAGAGGACAAGAGGCTAGAAAAATTAATTAAGCACACATCTTGAAGAAGGAGACACGATCGCCGGGACAAGAGCTTTATTAGCCTGACGTTTCGGATTCCTACTCGAATCCATCATCAGAGACAAAAGAGCAGAAACGGGTGGTTGTTGCACAAGGGGCTGCGGTATTTATAGGATGCGGCAGCCATGCTACCGCATACCTATGAACGTTCACGGCTTCCCCCTTCATCCGGGATTGTCACACTTGGTGTGATCATTGCTTGATGGCCGACATTCGAGTCGATAATTGCTGCAATTTGATCACGTGCGTTGGATGTTGGCGTGATGATTGCTCGACCATCTGACGCGTTGACCCGGGTGTCGGGAAGAGTGTTCACCAGTGCGCTCCCCGCGTGGCCAATTACTCCGCCTAGACGAAGTCTCAGCACGCTGTATTGAATGGGAAGATCGTTGCACTTGTTGATGGACTGGGGGCCAGTAAACCATGATTCCAGTAGCTCCCGGCTCACTCGGTTGTCACCTCTTGCGAGAATTTCAGCCTCATCGAATTTAAATGTGTGGCCGTATCTCGTCGAATGAGCCGCAACTTGAGAGCTGGCGTCATTTCTGCGCACCGCTGCCGCGTGTTCGGCCATTCTCGTTCGGAGCTGTCTTCCGGTTTCTCCGACGTAGTTGCTTTGTCCGCAACTGCACCAGATCCGATAAACGACTCCAGACGTTTCTAGCCGTGGCAGTGGGTCTTTCGTTTTCATGATCAGACGCCTGATGGTTGCCTCCGGTCTGTGTGCCACTCCAACCCCAAGTGGTGCGAGAAGGCGGCCGACAGCTTCCGAAACGTTTATGACATACGGAAGTGCCCGCCAAGACTTGGTGTCCGTGCGGTTAGGCCTTTCGTCCCTTTTGCGTATGCACCGGTCGACGAAGTTGCGCGGGTAGCCATTGGCTTTGAAGACCCGTCGGAGGTATTGTAGTTCAGCAATTTTGTCTTCTGGCTCACTGCAGTGCGTTTCGACACGCCGAAAGAGCGTCCTTACACAACTGCGTTTGTGGCTGATTGGGTGGTTACTGTCGAAGTTCAGTACTTGCATCGTATTTGTCGCTTTCCTGAACACTTTGGTCTTTAGTCCACCACAATCCTTGCGGCATACGAGGACATCCAGGAAGGCCAGCTGGTTGTTCTCTTCCTCCTCCATCGTAAATTGAATGTCCGGGAAGACGGCGTTGAGATGTTCTTGGAACGTCAACACCTGATCCCGTTCGATGACGACGAAGGTATCATCCACATACCGGGCCCAGAATTTCGGTCTGTGATGTTGGAAGACCAGCGATTCTAACCGTTGCAGGACCGCCTCGGCGATGAATCCCGAAATCGGCGAACCCATTGGTGTGCCTTCACCTGTTCTTAGATTGTCCCGTCGAACGTGAAGTACGTCCTGAGACAGAGCTTCAGGAGCTGAAGGACTTGGGCGTGTCCAAGACGGTTCTCCGTTTCATCGTATTTGCTTTGTAGTAGCAGCTCAGTTGTCTCGATCGCCAGGTCCTCACGAATAGAAGTAAAAAGGGATGTAACATCAAACGATACCATGACCTCATTTGGATGGATGCTTACCCCTTTGAGTTTCTCCAGGAATTGTGCTGACGAAGAGACCGTGGTGTCTACCTCAGCGGTCAGGAACTTGAGACGCCGGAACAGCCACTTAGCCAGTCCGTACGTTGGAGTCCCTTTGAGCGACACGATGTGTCGGAGAGGAGCGCCGTCTTTGTGCACCTTAGGGAGGCCATAGAATCGGGCCAAAGCCGTATCTTCGGTCGGTGTTATTGCACCTGAGTTCTCCAAGGCCAACAACGTAGCATTAATTTCGCGTGTCAGCGCCTTTAAAGGGTTCGTTGCACATGGGACATAGAACTGTCGGTCCTCCAGTAAACCTTTGGCTTTTTGAAGGTAGTCTGTCCTGTCCAGTACAACTGTGGCGCGTCCTTTGTCCGGTGGCACGATGACCAGGTCTTTGTCGGCCTTGAGTTCTCTAAGCGCATCACGTTCGACCTTGGAAAGCACTTCCCGCGGCCTGTGGGCCATCAGGAGAGACGACACTTGGTGTCGGATGAGGTTCTTAGTCTCCTCCGTTGCCTCCGTCTGACAAAGGATTGATTCCACTGCTGCACTTCCCGCGGCCTGTGGGCCATCAGGAGAGACGACACTTGGTGTCGGATGAGGTTCTTAGTCTCCTCCGTTGCCTCCGTCTGACAAAGGATTGATTCCACTGCTGCAATCATGTTAACAGGTTTGGCGTCAGCCGTGTTAAATGAAGCTTCGTGCCGTAAAAACTGCATCTGATCCTTCGTCAGCTCCTTTGATGACAGGTTGTGCACCCGTTTGTCGTTTCTGGGCGACGTTGGATTGGGCAGCTTTCGAAATTTGTTCTCCAGTGCTGCGTCGCGTATCGTGCTCTGTTCGCGGGCTTGTTCAGCTATCCTCCGCCGGAGCAGATTTGTACCGACTTCACCCATGAACTCACAGCATCTGGTCTTTTCTTGGTCAATACTTTGACGGTACTTGCGAAGTCTCGCGTGGCAATCTTGGAGGAGCACTCGGATCATCCTTCTGCCGTGCTGAAATACTGCTCGTCTCGCCAAATCCGTGTTAACCGGTGGCTTGTATGAAACACATTTCGGTAACACATTATTGTCGAGACACCTGTGCAGAAACCGGATCTGCGAACACGTAGAGGCCTCCCGAAGGGCGAAGGTTTCCCATCGTGGGGCCGATCGGAGCGCATCGCGCCCAAATTCGATGAGACCGAAATTCTCGCAAGAGGTGACAACCGAGTGAGCCGGGAGCTACTGGAATCATGGTTTACTGGCCCCCAGTCCATCAACAAGTGCAACGATCTTCCCATTCAATACAGCGTGCTGAGACTTCGTCTAGGCGGAGTAATTGG